CCCCAAAACCCCAAAACCCCAAAACCCCTTTAGATATTGGTTTGATTGAAACATGGGTTTTATGGATGAACTATTCAATAGTTTTCGCTGTCTCTAGAAGTCCTTTAACTGTGAATGATCCTGGTCTTTCCATTGGGAGTCCAAGAGCTCTGTCCCATAATAGAGAAGACATATATCCAAATGATCTTGAAACGCCGAACAGCACAGTGTAGTAGTCGAGTTGGTCCATACCGAAGTGCATTAAAAGTGCTCCAGAACAAGCTACAAGATTTGGATATGGACTTGAAATTGTCGACTTGATTTTTGGCAATAGATCTGGGATCACTTCGTAGCAAGCATTCACCAATTTGATCAAATTATCATTTGGGAAGTGGGTTAGACCAAATTTTAGCTGATGGATAAATCTTGGATCAGCCATTCTGACTACAGAATGCCCATATCCGGGGACGACCCTCTTATTATTTAAAGTGTAGTGCACGTGTTCAACAATGTCATCTTTGGTCCAATTCTCTCCGTACTTATCCACGATTTCTAAGTACCATTTTAAGCAATTTTGACTACCTAATCCATGCAAAGGTCCTGCAATTGTGCTGAGGGAGGCAGAAAATGAAAGATATGGATCGGAGAGTACAGATCCTACCAATTTATTGGTATGAGCACCAGCGCTTCCTCCTCCATGATCCATGTGAAGAACAAGGTAAAGTCTCATCAATTCATACATATCTTCACTGTCGTATCCAAGCATGTGTGCATACTTTGCACCAAAGTCAAGCTTATCGTCCATAAAATCAGGAAGGTCTTTATTGTCATTGTAGAGATTGTTAAAGACTAGTGCAGCAACTTTTGAGCTTTTAGCAACGACATTGATACAATCATCATAAATTGCTTCCCAGTGCTTGTCCTTTGCAATTCCATTCTCACAGTTTTGAGCAAATGTAGACATATTCTGACAAGCAAGCATACCCATAGAGAACTGGGTCATTGGACTCATATTTTTAGGAAATGATCTAATGAATTCAATAGTCTCGTCAGGGATGTAGCTTCTCTCCTTCAAGTCAAGCACGAAGTCGTCAAACTCCTCTTTAGTTGGATACTCTCCACTTAAGAATAACCAAAGGACACCCTCTGGTGCAGGGGATCCTCCTTCGACAAAGGATGGAGTCATCTTCACAATTTCGTCAATGCTGTATCCTCTGTATTTTACTCCTTCAGTAGGGTAGATTTCAGAAGTCTCGTAAATAACTCCTTTAATGCCTTTCATTCCTTGGATAACTTGGTTGACATTAACAGTCTGCAAGATCTTAGTCCCATGTTCCTTCTTAAGAGTGTTTAGTCTTCCTTGAACTTCTGGAATAATTTCCGCTAGCTTTCCCTTCAACTTATGGATAGCAAATGTTCTAGATGGAATCATGTGCAAAATATTCTCTGTTGGCATTGCTCTCATTCTAATGGCAGCTCTATATAATAAGGTTAGCTACTAATCGAAGGAGAAATGTATGGGTGAGCATGCATGTTAAAGTCCAAATAGCGGAGATTCCGCTGTTTCTCATTTCCTACCTTCTAACGCTGAACATCTTTAACAAGTATTAAAGTGCAATAATAATTATTTACTTATTTCATTTTAGGTAGCAAAGTTTGGGGTTTTGGGGTTTTGGGGTTTTGGGGTTTT